AAAAAAAATTTTTTTTGTTCTTTTCACTCCTGGGAAATTCTTGGTACAATTCCTGGGAACATTTTCACCTGGGTTTGGATAAATATTTTAGTCATTGTCAGTTGTAAAATGTTCTTGACAAGGCGATATTAATTAAGAAAAGGTGTGCTTTTCGACATCTTTGAAAGCATTTAAATACTAGGATGAAAAAAAATTAATAACAAAAATCGTATGTATTTTAATAGAAATAGGGTGGAAATTAAAAGAGGCAAAACCGGCAGGAATTGAAGAACAATACCGCATGTAATGTTTGTTGTAAAATATCGTACATAAATACTCACACTATTTGAAACTAGTAAGTGGTTTAAAATTGAACCCTCATCGCATCAACTGAGTGGGCTGTACGTTTTAAAAAAATTAGTTAAAACACAAATATTTTATGAAATCAATTTGGAAAAGTAGTAGAAAATTAAAGAAAAATTCAGCAGAAAGACGTGCGAAATTTTAAAAATATTATTTAAAAAATTCGTTAGTAATTTACATCATAAATGTACAAAATTTGTTTACTCGAGTTTAAATTTTGACTTTCCTTTGAACCTCTTTACCCTCTACTTTTCAGACTTTCGAAGAATCAAAAGAGGTTTAGTTTTCATGCAAGAAGACCCTCTTTCGAATATCTAAATGTGCGAAAAAATACAAATCTGCATGGATTCAGGCTTAAAAGAGGGTCAAATTTTTACCTCTTTTAAGCCTTAAAAATCCTTTACATTGTCTTCTTATTTTGTAGCGCATGTGTTTTAAAGCGCGCACTTTTTTTTGCATTGATGCAATTAATAACTATCTGTACAATGTTAATTGGAATATTTTATTGTATGGCATTGACCTTGAGAGTGCGACTAATATTTTTAACGATTATATTTTTTCGGCATTTGATTTTTTTGTACCTATTAAAACTATAAACAATAGTAATTTCCCTTCTTGGTTTACTAGTGAGCTTATAAATTTGATAAGGGCTAAAAAATTGCTCATTTAAAATATAAACAAACAAACACTTTCGCTGATTATCAGATTTTTTCAACTCTTCGCTCCAAATGTAAATCATTGTCGATAAATTGTTATAATGTTTTTATTCGTAACACCAAAAAACAAATAATTTCTAATCCGAAAAGTTTTTGGAAATTTATTAAGTCGAGGCGCTGTGATCAGGGAGTTCCTAACTGCATGACGCTTGACGATTGTACAACGAGTGACAATAAACAAATATCCGACTTGTTCGCTTCATATTTTGAATCAGTCTATGAGGTGTCTGGTGATGGTGAAGTTTTTGATTCATCTGACATTCATGATACCATTGAGTTAAATTATTTTATTATTGATAAGCAATGTATATATATAAAAAATTAATGTCAATTGATGTGAATGTTGGTGCGGGTCCAGATGGTATTCCACCATACATTATTAAGTCGTGCTGCTCATCTTTGGTTGAACCATTATGTATTTTATTTAATAGATCTATTGACGAAGGTATTTTTCCAAATCACTGGAAATCTGGTATTATTGTTCCAATTTACAAGGACAAATCCAAAAATAATGTAAGAAACTATAGACCAATAACCATTCTTAACGTTATATCCAAAGTATTTGAGAGCATAGTACATGATCAACTTTACCATGCTGTATCAGAAGAGATTATTGATGAGCAGCACGGGTTTGTCATGGGAAAATCAGTTTCCACTAACCTTTGTACCTTTCTTAACAATGTGATCCCTGAAGTTGAGAGTGGTCACCAGGTTGATGCCACCTATATGGACTTTGCTAAAGCTTTTGATAAAATTGACCATACGATTCTTTTAAAAAAGATGAGTTTAATGGAAATAAATCCCAAATTGATTCAATGGTTCAAAAGTTATTTAAGTAATAGAAAACAATGTGTCCGTATAGATGGCAGTTACTCTAGAATTGTTTTGGTGACTTCCGGTGTTCCTCAAGGATCGAACCTGGGTCCACTTTTGTTTCTTCTATTTATAAACGACATTAAGTGTATTTTTAAATTTTGTAAATTCTTACTCTTTGCAGATGATTTAAAGATTTATAAAACTATTAATTCAAACGCAGATCACATTGATCTTCAATCTGACTTAGATTCTCTGCAGGATTGGTGTACTCGAAATAAATTTTTTCTAAATATAAATAAATGTTCAGTAATTTCTTTTTCAAAAAAAACTTGTTATAAACTACACTTATGTCGTTGACAATATTGAATTAGATCGAGTGACACAGGTTCGAGATCTGGGAGTCATCTTAAGTTCGGATTTGACCTTCACCGAGCATGTATCCTTCACTGTGAATAAGGCTCTTCGCTCTTTGGGCTTCATTGTGAGAAATGCTGCTGATTTTAAAAGTTTAACCTCTCTTAAAGTTTTATATTTTTCTTATGTAAAGTCAATTCTTGAATTTGCTTCCGTTGTCTGGTTTCCCTACTATTTCATTCACATTATTAGACTAGAAAGAGTCCAAAATCGTTTTTTACGTTTCGCAGCCAGACAACTTGGCATAAGCTTCGATTCATTTTCACATAATTATGATCACTTACGTTCTACTTTAAAAATTCCAAAAATTGAAGCTAGATTTAAATATAATGACTTGCTATTTTTGTTCAAGATTCTCAATGGTCGCATGAATTGTCCTACAATATTGTCATTCATAAAACTCTGTGCTCCAACTCGCTTCTCCAGACACTCTTCTACATTTTATGTCGATTTTCATAGAGCAAACTATGGATACAATAGTACCATAAATAGAATATGTAGGGAGGGTAACTTTTATAGCGACTGCCTAAACTTTTTTGATTCTAATTTAAATCGGTTTATTGCTACTTTGCGCAAAACAATACTGAGATGTTAAATTTATTAGGTTATAATTATAAAAATGTTTAAAAACGACAAGTTTTTGTCCTCATCTTTATACTTTGTAAAGGGTTTATCGCCCGTTTATACATCTAAATAAATAAATAAATAAATAAATAAAGCGCACACTTTTTCACAATTTGAAAAATTTCAATTTAAACATTTCTGTTAAATAATCAATATGAAATATACATATTGATTATTTATTTGAATTATTCAAATTAAAGTTTTTCAAATTTTAAAGAGAAGTGTGCTCTTTAAAATGCATACACAATTATTGAATAAGATTGTTTTAGTTATTAAAACGACACAATACATGAATCATCAAGCATTTACTAGTAAACCTATAAATGGGCGTATTCCTGGCATTTGGAAAATTTTGAGTGGTCTTAGGACTTTTCTTGGTTAAAAATTCGATGAGTTACGGTATTTCAAAGTTTAGAACGACAAAACCTCATTTCGAGAAAAACGAAATTAAAGTTCAGGGCACCTAAAAGATAAAAAACTAGTAGGTTTCTACCCCTCCATTTTGAAAATACGAAAAATTGACAAAATAGGCTTTTTTCAAAAAAGGGCAGTTTTTCTTATTAATAAACCATTTTTTACAACAATAATAATTAGGTACAATTTTATAATGTCATTTGAGAAAAAAAAAGAAATTAAACTTTTGTAAAAATTTTTAACAGTCTCTATTATTAATAATTTGACGAAATATCAAAATTTTCATTTCGACAATTAAGAAAAAAACTCTAACATCAATATCTCTGGTTCTTCTGGGAAGTTATTCAGATAAGAATTGTTTATAGTCCAGGGCACTTTAAAGATAAAAAATCAAGAGGTTTTTAATTTATTTACCCCTCCATTTTGAAAATTCGAAATACTTTTGCAAAGGACGGACAAAATAGGCCCTTTTCTTTTTTCTAAAAAACACATGGAATAAAATACTTAAAAACGATAAGTTAATAAAAACCTCATGATTCGACTTGTCAAAATATGTAGATTTATAGTTAAAAATAAAAAAATTAAGATTTTTATCCATAATTACTAAATTGCAAATATCTTGAAAACTAGAACCGACAAAATGGTCCCTTTTCATGTTAACGTCTATGTTGCAGACGCATCTACAAACTACTTATAAGAACATCACATTGACAGATTAAATTCTAAACTAAGAAGGAACGTTATAATATAACCCACTTTTCCTGTTGTACTTAACTACTGACGAACATTTCTCTACCTTACTATACTGTAAAGACGATAACGCCACTACCTTTTCTTACCCTTACACTACCTGTAAATAGACAAACCGAAGGACAGAGATGTATCAAGGTACTTGATGAGCAAAAGGAACCCCGGCCTGCGGGGGAGGATCAGTGTCAAGCGAGACAGCTTAATGAATAGACGTGACGAATCTTTGACAAACATCAAAAATCACTACTGACGCGACACAAACGCCTTTGACCCATTCTTAATTAAAGTGAATAAATTATAACAATAGAGTTCAACCACCCTCCACTTTATTCTCATTTTGTAACAATAGTGCTTTAAATAAACAATCTCTATATTAATACCGTAAACTGTTTGTGTCTAACTCTTTTTCAATTACCCGAGAAAAAACCCCCCAACATTGGTCCTTCGAGCCGGATCCCTACGCGGTGGATCCTTCGCGTATGTGCACGCGGTATAGTGTGAAGACATCACATATGTGACCGTGTGTGTGACGTGAACAGACATAGGTTTTCTTGTGTAATCGAAAAGGACGCTCGGAACGCAGAGGCGTGCCCAAGCCGAGCGTAGCGTCATGCGTGTAAGTGTAGTGGTGAAGCACATAGACAGTGAGCCGTAGCGGTAAGTACTACCACAGACGCAGCGCGCCTCAAGACAGTGAAGCGATCGCCAAGCGGTGTGGGTAGGAAAAGGTACATGGACAGGACAAAGTGTAAGTGGTAGTACAGGGATCGGACAGGCCGATGCTACACCAACACTAGTGTAAGTGTGCCTACATACTACAGACAGTGGTACAGTACGCACAAGCCGGCGAAACAAACAGACGATATACTATAGTGCGAAATACGGACAGTTTTCGTAGAGTGTGTACAGTGCAACGCTACAAACATGATTCGACACACCCCCCTGTCGAAACCACGTCAGGAAAAAGGCGATGAGGTACCTCAAGAGACCGCAAGTTTACCTGACGTGAGGCGCAGTGGAAGAATAAACAAAGGGATAGGACCCCCAAGGTACGACGAGCTCCTTCAAAGCCGGTTAACAAATATAACGGAATATCGCGTCACGACCCCGCAAATAATAGAAAATAGACCGCCGTCCGTCATTTCGCGCAATTCTGTTAGCTCAAACGCTAGGGCCAGTAGACAACTGGAAATCGAGCTGCGCCGTCAAGAAGAATTAGCGGAACTAGACCACCAAAAAGCGGAACGCGACCGTCAGATAATCGACCTCCGCGCTCGCCTTGAGGAAGCAAAAATGTTCGAAGACGAACAGCGTAGATGCCCGTCAAAAGCAAGCTACGCGAGTGTACGGTCGATGACGACAATAAATTCACAACATTTAAAAGTCGTGGATTGGCTACAAAAGGGAAACGCGTCGGACGACAAAAATAAAAGGCGCGATTCAGAAAATAGAAAAATAGATCTCGACAGTATGGGAAAATTTAGGGCACCACCCGTAAATAACGCGTATATGGCACGACAAGCCCTAGGAAAAGATCTCCCTGAATTTAAGGGATCGACATCAGACTGGATACTGTTTGAAAAAATGTTTTACCAGACGACGGAAGCGTGCGGTTTCTCCCCAGCCGAAAACATGCTTCGACTACAAAAGTGCTTGAAAGGAGACGCGTTAGAATCGGTTAGAGCACTATTAATGACCACGAACGTCGACCGGGTAATTATTGTACTGAGACGACGTTTCGGACGAGCGGAACATATTATAGAGGACATAGTGCACAAAGTTACAAGCGCGCCTAGTGTGAAAGAAGACCGCCCTATTACGATGATTCGATTCGCGGAGGGCGTAACAAATCTCGTTGCCACGATCGAATCGCTGAATCAACCTTCCTATCTCACTAACCCGCTGTTAGTTAAACAATTAGTTAGCAAGCTACCCGCGTCGGAAAGAATGGCATGGGGTAAGAAAACGGCTAAAAATCAGGACGGAACGTGTTTACGCGAATTTTCGGAATGGATAGAAGAAGAAGCAGACGCCGCGAGTGCTATCTACCAACCGGAAAGAGACAGAAACGAGAAATGCGTTATGACGTGTCGCGACGCGGACCAAGTCAAGAGTGTCGACAATGGGAAGTGCCTGTACTGCGACAGGAAATCGCATCCGACAGATGCCTGCTACAGTTTTTTAAAGTTGGCCGTTGACGACCGATGGAAGTGGGTGAGGAAGAAAAGAGTGTGCTTTAGATGTCTCGGAACAAATCACAACATCCGAGAATGTAAAGCACAAGGGTGTACTCAACCAGGATGTACTCATAGACACCACACTCTCCTGCACAACGATTTTTTAGAATCGCGTCAAAGGACGACAAAATCGGACGGAAAGTCGACTTCGACAACTGAGAACAACGAAAATAACATAGAACGTGTTACTTTCACAAACAAAGACGCGAGACGAGTATACCTGCGTATCCTCCCCGTGACGTTGAGAGGACCCGACCGAGAGATTGACACGTACGCGCTGCTGGATGGTGGCTCAACCGTGTCGTTAATTTCGGAAGAAATGGCGGACAAACTCGGACTAAGAGGACCGCGACGGCCTCTTATCGCCTCGTGGTACGATAACACAACAAACGAGGATCATGCGTCTCGCGAAGTGAACCTCGAGATCCGCGGAATAAACGGAAAGACTTTTAATATCCGTGATGCGCGTACTACAAAAATGAACATGCCGGGACAATCAATGACAGTTAACTCGAAAAAGTGGCCTTATTTAAGGGATATTGACATTCCAGATTTAAATGAAGCCGTACCGACTATAATGATAGGAGAAGATAACCTTCATTTAAAGAAAGTGATTAGACAAGTAGCCGGGAAACAAGGAACACCCTTCGCGACACTGACACCCCTCGGATGGATGGTCCACGGTCCTGATTTCGCCGAAAGACCCGAAAGGGATGTAGCGCTCCTTGTGCGACACAAAAATGAGGAATGCGAATTGAATGAACTTGTCCGAGACTTTTGGACCACAGAATCATTTCGGGTTACACCTTCTTGTCGAAATGTAAGCTCTAACGAAGATAAGAGAGCAAGGGAAGTTTTAAAAAGAACAATGAAACGAGTAGGGGATCGATGGGAAGTAGGTCTGCTCTGGAAAGTCGATCAAGAGGTTTTACCAGAAAGCTACGAGAACGCAAAAAAGCGTCTTATTTCTATCAACAAAAAAATGGCAAGTGATCCGGAGTTCGGTAAAAGGTACAGCGCCAATATACAGGCATATATTACCAAAGGATATGCACGTAAAGTGACCGACGAGGAATCCAAACAACGGAGCGACAGAATATGGTATCTGCCGCATTTTGCAGCCTATAACCCTCAGAAACCCGACAAACTACGAATGGTTCTCGACGCTGCTTCCAAAAGTCACGGACTTAGTTTAAACGACAGACTGCTGAAAGGACCAGATTTGTTAAAACCATTACCAGGTGTTCTGTTCCGATTTAGAGAAAAAAGAATTGCGATATGTGGCGACCTCCGCGAGATGTTCCATCAGGTACGCATTCGCAAAGAAGATCAACCAAGTCAACGCATTCTTTGGCGAGACGACACCACCAAGGAAATACAGACATTGGAAATGACTGTCATGATTTTCGGAGCGATATCATCTCCCTACGTGGCCCACGAAGTAAGAAACCATAACGCGGAGGAATTTCGAGACTTGTACCCTGAAGCATACGATGCAATCGTAAATAATCACTACGTCGACGACTTTCTGGATAGTGCAGATACCATTGATGACGCCACGCGTAAGGTACGGAAAGTTATGTACGTACACAAAAGGGGAGGATTCGAGTTACGCAACATAATGACAAACTCATCGGAAGTTCGAGCCTCTCTTAACGCGGAATTTCTCGCTCCAACAAATGAAAAGCTCACTATCTTTGGTGAAAATTATACGCGCGTACTAGGCGTTAACTGGACGCCAGAAATAGACTGCTTCTTTTTCTCAACAGAATTCCTGAAATCAACAGAAGAAGTGACAAGGGACACAAAGGGCCTCACGAAAAGGACACTCTTGAAAATGTTGATGTCCCTCTTTGATCCGTTAGGACTTTTAGCCCCGTTGACAATTCGAGGAAAAATTATCCTACAGGACATTTGGAGAGAAGGAACCAAGTGGGACGAAGAAGTCACTGAAGACACAGCGAAGTCATGGGCCACCTGGATTGAAGATCTCCAACAAGCGGAACATCTAAGAATTCCTCGACACTATGCAGGACTCATCGACCGATTACAAAACGTCCAATTACATGTGTTCTGCGACGCCAGTATCCAAGCCTTCGCCGCCGTAGCCTACTTGCGCCTACAAGAAGAAGATAAAGTGCAGACAGCCCTAGTTATGGCTAAAACGAGAGTAGCCCCGATTAAGTTGCTGACAGTTCCCCGACTAGAACTTCAGAGCGCCGTCATGGCCACACGTCTGGCAGAATTCATCCAACAAGAACACAACATAGTCTTCGACAAAACAATCTTCTGGCCCGATTCCCAAACTGCGTTGGGATGGATTCAATCCGATGCCAGGAAATATCAACCATTCGTGGCACATCGGATCGCTGAGATTCTCGATAAAAGCTCACCGACTGATTGGCGATGGGTGCCAACAGAGCTTAATGTAGCAGACGACGCAACTCGAAGCAAAAAACAGGAAACACTACACAATACGAGCCGTTGGTTCCAAGGACCGGAATTTCTACGTCAACCAGAGAGCGAATGGCCACAGCCCAAGACCCTGGACAGACAGTCCGCAGAAATAACAGGTGAGATGAAAAAAGAACACTGCTTCATAACTCATGTTGAAGTACCGATAATAGACAGCAGCTGTTTCTCCTCGTGGTTGAGAATAACTCGCGTAGCAGCATGGATGCTGCGATTCATCGACCGGTGCCGAAAGAGGCCGCTTTCAACGAGTTCGTCGGAACTTACCGGACTCGAAATGAGACGAGCTGAACACTATGTGATACGATAATCACAACAGGAAGCTTTCCCTGAAGAAGTGCAAACTCTAAAACAGAAGATGGAAGTTGTTTCAACATCAAGGATTTTTTCCCTCTCTCCAATCTACAAGGACGGACTTATCAGAATGGATGGTCGTGTGCAGAATAAAACGGATCACAGTTTCAACCAACTATTTTAGACGGAAAAAATAACATCGTGAAACTGCTAATCACTCACTATCACTGCAAGGCCGGACACCATGGGCGAGAAAGACTCGTCAACGACCTACGACAACATTTTTGGATTACCAATATCCGAATGGCAGCCCGTCGCTCCTGGAATGACTGCCTAGAATGTAAACATCGCAGGGCAAAGCCAGCTGTACCGAGGATGGCGCCACTCCCTCCACCACGCCTACAAGATAACGTGGCGGCATTCACTAACACAGGGGTGGACTATTTTGGACCTTTTCAAGTGACTATCAGAAGAAGAACGGAGAAGCGGTACGGTGTGCTGTTCACTTGCCTGACCGTACGAGCAGTTCACCTCGAGATAGCATCTTCTTTGGATACCAGCTCCATGATAATGGCATTAAGAAGAATGATGTCTAGACGAGGTAAACCAACAAGAATCTTCTCAGACAATGGTACCAATTTCCGAGGTGCCAGTGAAGAGCTTAGAAAGGCAGTTGCAAGTTTAGACAAAGACGAAATTCTTAGACAAACCGCCAACGAGAAAATAGAATGGAAGTTCATCCCACCGGGTAGTCCACACATGGGCGGATGCTGGGAGAGACTGGTAGGGTCAGTCAAACGTGCGCTGAACAACACGCTGAAGGAACGGTCACCAAGAGAGGAAGTGCTGCAGACCTTATTTGCCAAAGCCGAGTACTCTTTAAACAGTCGGCCATTGACTCACGTCTCTGATGATCCAAATGACGAAAGAAGCCTCACCCCGAACGATTTTCTCGGACTCAACCCGGGAGCTATACGCGAAACGTATGGTGCGCCAGGTGTAGCAACTCTGTTTTCAGATGCAGACAAGCTCCGGAAGCAGTGCAGATACTCGCAGTGGCTTGCCAATCACTTCTGGAAACGATGGATTAAAGAATACCTGCCATCTATCAACCGACGTGCCAAGTGGCACCGTGAACGACCAGAGCTGAAAGTAGGCGACCTAGTGGTTGTCTGGGACGAAAACGCCCCCCGCAACCAATGGAGACGAGGACGAGTAGTAGCTGTTCATCCTGGAAGAGACGGTCGAGTACGTGTGGCGGATGTACGAACTGCAACGGGTACTCTGCAGAGATCAACAGCCAGATTATGCGTCCTGGAAACTTCCTAATGTATATCTCTACTCGATATACAGGAGGGGGAATGTTGCGGACGCATCTACAAACTACTTATAAGAACATCACATTGACAGATTAAATTCTAAACTAAGAAGGAACGTTACAATATAACCCACTTTTCCTGTTGTACTTAACTACTGACGAACATTTCTCTACCTTACTATACTGTAAAGACGATAACGCCACTACCTTTTCTTACCCTTACACTACCTGTAAATAGACAAACCGAAGGACAGAGATGTATCAAGGTACTTGATGAGCAAAAGGAACCCCGGCCTGCGGGGGAGGATCAGTGTCAAGCGAGACAGCTTTATGAATAGACGTGACGAATCTTTGACAAACATCAAAAATCACTACTGACGCGACACAAACGCCTTTGACCCATTCTTAATTAAAGTGAATAAATTATAACAATAGAGTTCAACCACCCTCCACTTTATTCTCATTTTGTAACAATAGTGCTTTAAATAAACAATCTCTATATTAATACCGTAAACTGTTTGTGTCTAACTCTTTTTGAATTACCCGAGAAAAAACCCCCCAACAGTCTATAGGGGTCATTCACAAACTACGTCACGTTTTTTCGGACTGATTTTTACCTCCTCCCCCCTTTCGTTACATTTTTTACATACAAACAAAATTTTTTTCCACACTTCGTCACACAAAGCTTAACCCTCAGGGTACTGACTATAAAAATGTAACGTTCCGTACTGACATGGGTTAGCGTAACCCAGCAACTTGATCGCCTGTATCTTGGGCTGTAATTGATGAATTTAAACTCTTTTTTTGTAATCTGTTTAAAATTTCCCCAGGAATATGCCGGATTTGTCGGATTAGTGATATTTTTTTAATTATAAAAGTTATTATCAAAAATACAAATGGTTTTCAAAAAATTTTCATGAAAAAAAATATTTTTTTTAAAAGCTCGTATTTTTATGAAAAAAAAGATAAAATCATTTTATATAGGTGTTTTGGAAAGGTGAAAAGTTGATCTTTAAGATAGCGTTAGCCGTTTTTTAATTAATCTTAAAAAGTATATTTTTTTTAGATTTGAAAATGCTCTATTTTTGACATGTAAAAAAAAGTCAAACTATAAATTCATTAAAAATATCGCAAAAATTTACAAACCCAATTTCACCAAATTTACAAAATCCTTCCGCTTTACACTTTATGAACTTTTAAATGTAATTTATGAATAATTTTCGATTAATTTAATGAGATTTTACAATTCACAAAAACATGGATTTTATAACATAGCGTACTGACTGGGTGTAATTCACCCGAATACAAATTTCAATAATTCGCAGCTTGAACAGCAAGTGCCGACCGGCTCTGCCGAATCAGCTACTTTCGGTTCTAATCTCAAAGTTTTTTCCCCCTCCGGTCCGAGCCGCCTCCATCGATTTGTTTAGAAATGGCGCAACTTTCAAAATTCGCCTGGGTTACGCTAACCCAGTCAGTACCCTGAGGGTTAACACCCCCCCCCCCTGCCTAAGAGTGTGACATAGTTTGTGAACGACCCCCTACATATATGGACGTCCACATGAAAAGGGACCATTTTGGCAGTATTAGAATTATTCCTGTGTTCCTGACAAAATTTGTAAAATTTTGAGTGGTCATCGAACTTTTTTGGTTAAAAATTCGCTGAGCTACGGAATTTCAAAGTTTAGAACGCCAAAAACTTCATTTTGAGATAAACGGAATTAAAGATTGTGATACTATCTAATCGTTGTATCTCTGGTTCCTCTTAAAAGTTATTTAGATAAGAATTGTTTCCAGTTCAGGGCACCTTGAAGATAAAAAACCAACAGGTTTTAAATTTTTAAAACCATCTCCCTCTTAATTTCAAAAATACGAAAATCGAAAATATGGGCCCTTTTCTAAAAGGGCCAGTTTTTCTATTAAAAAACCATTTTTTACAAGATTAATGATTAAGTACAATTTTATTGTGTCATTTGAAGAAAAAGAATAGATATTAAACTTATTTAAAATTTTTTGACAGTCTCTATTATGAAAAAATTGACGCAATATCCAAATTTTCATTTCGACAATTACGAAAAAAAAGATTCTAACATCAATATCTCTGGTTCTTCTGGGAAGTTATTTAGATAAGAATTGTCTATAGTCTAGGACACCTTAGAGATGAAAAATCAAGAGGTTTTAAATTCCACACCTCCATTTTTAAAATACGGATTACTTTTGCAAAATGGGCCCTTTTCATTTTTCTAAAGAATCAATGAAATCAAACAGTTTAATTTTATCGATAAATTAATGAAAACCGCATGATTCGATTTGTCAAAACATGTAGATTGATAATAAAAAATAAAAAAATTTAAGATTTTGCTCCAAAATTACTAGATTGCGTTTATCTCGAAAACTAGAACCGACAATATGAGCTCTTTTCATGTGGACGTCAACATATACTGAATTCTAATCATTTTCATTAAATGAAAATTAGGAAAAAATGCGGTACATGCTAAACATAATATAAAATCATAAATATTCTGTAAATACTTTATTTTCAATGAATTTTAATCTATTTTAAAGAATAATTTTAAATTCGTACAAATTAAAAATAAAATTAATTATTATTGTTATTGTAATATGCGTTTCGTTCACGTTTTTGAGCGTTTAAATTCGCAAACATTTGTCCTTTTAATCTTTGAAAAATAAAATATTACTTGTTAGACAAAAATTCCATAACGGCAAGAAATGTTTTCTTATTGCTCATTCAGGGTTGCCACAAAAATGTAATTTTGTTTTTATCTGACTTCCAGACAAAATTTGGACTTTTTCCCTGATCAATAAATTCAAATTTTCAAAGATTTTAATTTAAACCGTCTTTAAAATTCAATTCTTTCTAATAATCCACGTTATAATGCTTTTAATATACCTATTCAATTATAATTTAAAATGCTATGTTTTTTATTTTTTTAAATCAATTTTTCAATCATTTTTTAATCAATTTTTAGTACAAAACTCTTCGAGAATTTCATTATTTGCACAAAAAAATTTGATTAAATAATTGAATTCTTTCGGTGAATTTTAAAAGGAAATTTAAGAATGAATGCAATTTTCTATCATTTTATTTAAAATTGTATACAAAATAATAGAATTCTTGAATTCCTATTAAATATTTTATTTTTGATAAGAATTAAATTCTTGTGAGGAATTTGATTCAAATATCTTTAATAATTTAATTGCTTCAAAAAATTTTATTTTTACGAAAATAATTGAATTATTTTGAAGATTTTTGCAAACATTTTTGATAATGATATTGATGGCTTGATCGATAATTTTGATAATAATTGTATATTTCTACAAAGAAAGTTGTATTTTACGAAAATAATTGTATTTTGAGATCAATTTTATTATAATTTGTCAAATTTATACGAAATATCATAAATTGATTTTTTGCGAAAAATTTTATTTAAATTGTTTAATAATATAATTTGTGAAAGAATTTTATTTTAATTTTTAAATAATATAATTTTTTAAAGAATTTTATTTTAATTTTCCGAAATAATTGAATATCTCAGAACAATTTTTTTCAAATGTCTGAATATATTTGAATTTTTTCGAGAAACTTTATTAAAAAATCAAAAATAATTGAATTAGTGCGAAAAAATTAATAGAAAATTGTAAAGTAATTGAATTCCTTAACAAAATTTGTATTAAAATTTTGTTTAAATAATTGAATTGCTTAGGAAAATTGTATTGAGAAAGTAGGTATTGAAAACAATTGAAATAAGGAAATTTTTTTGAAAATGATTGAAATTTTTACAAGAATTTTTTTTTTAGATAATTAAATTTATGCGACAAAGTTTATCACACTGTTAGAAAAGAATTGAAAATTCAACAACTTTTCAATTACATAAGTTATTGAATTTTAATTCAATTCAGCTTGAATTGAAAATTAAAGAACTTGAAGTGAATATTAATTGGTTTGTAATTGAAAATACAAACGCAGTTATTGAAAATTCATTACTGTTATTGAAAAAATGAAAATCCATTGGTTTGTAATTGAAAAGTACAGACACAGTTATTGAAAATTCATGACTGTTATTGAAAATTCGATACTGTTATTGAAAATTCGATACTGTTATTGAAAATTCAATACTGTTATTGAAAATTCATTACTGTTATTGAAAATTTAATACATTTGTCACATCTGGTGTGGAAAATTTCTACAATTTCTTAGAAGTTTTTGACAAATGGTCCTTTTAGCGTCAGTTGCTTTACAGCATTTGCCATAGGAACTATACATCCGCGCGTGAAACTCTTCTTGTTTTTACAGTGTTTTAAATAAAAACTGAGTGTTTAAAATTTAATTCAAAATAAATACATTATAATATTATATTTTATAATTATTTATTGAACAGCAATAGTGAATTTTTAATCTACTTGTGTACATCAGTTAATTTCGACGAATTTCAATTTCTAGGGATAAGTAATTTTATTGTTAGTGTGGGTTATGATTAATATAATATTGATACTATTTTATTATTGTTCTTCATAATTGTTTGTTATGGTTTGTGAAAAATATTTTGTTAAATAGTTTTGTAATCAAACATATTTTGTGAAATAAAACGAATCTCTATAAACTACAATTATTTTCTTCAATCTTGGTAAATATTCATCATTAATTGTAAAATTCACAGAAAAGAAGAAATTTTTGTGAATTTTCTTTAAAAAAAGTTTTACAGTGTATGTACCTATACACAATACTGGTCAAACTTATTTAATTTTCAATTTCATATTATTGAATTTTCAATTCTATATTATTGAACTTTCAATTCCATGTTATTGAATTTTCAATTCCATGTTATTGAATTTTCAATTTCATGTTATTGAATTTTCAATTCCATGTTATTGAATTTTCAGTTCCATGTTATTGAATTTTCAATCACAGTTGCTATTGAATATTCAACTAAAAATTCAATGACACGGATTGATATGGACTTCACTTACATGTTATTGAAAATTCATATAGATATTTCTAACAGTGCACTTTTGAAATGCATTGAATTTCTGTAATTAGTTCTTAAAATTTCTATTTCAATTTATCAAAAACTAAAATTTTCTAAAATTTTAAATTGAAATATTTGATGTTCATCTATTTAAGAAGATTGTAAACAAAACTGTTTTTAACTCTAACTGATTTTGAAATTTTTAAGTAAAATTATTTATTAAATAATTTCTAAGTATTTATTTTATGATTGTTCTTCAAGAAATGAATTTTCTTATAAATTCTAAAAATTTAGTTTTTTCAGTACTTTTAATAAAAATCCCTGATTTCCTCGATGTTTCCCTGAATTCCCTGACTTGTGGCAACCCTGTAACTAGGTTTTAAATTATATAATCAATATTTTAATAATATATTTAATTACCTTTAAGGTTTTCAACTCTTTTTGTAACAAATCGTGTGTAGTAATTTGATCTTTTTGTCCATCCTTATTAATTGGAGAAGGCTGGTATTGGAATGGTTGAGGAGGTAGATATTGAGGCTGTGGAGGCTGATTCTGTGGAGGCTGGTACTGAGGAGGCTGGTACTGAGGAGGCTGGTACTGAGGAGGCTGGTACTGAGGAGGCTGGTACTGAGGAGGCTGGTACTGAGGAGGCTGATACTGAGGAGGCTGGTACTGAGGAGGATCGTACTGAGAAGACTGGTACTGAGGAGGATGATACTGAAAAGACTGGTATGTAGAAGGCTGATAGTGAGATGGTTGGCACAGAGGTGGTTGGAATTGAGTTGGTAGAATTGAATTTTGAACTGGTTGGTATTTATCAGGTACGTATGAAGATGTTGACTGGTTTGGAAAACGTGAAGATTGGTATGATTCATTAAAAGGAGGTTTATTGTAAGCTGTTAGATCTTTTTCTAACTCCGTGGCCGTTTTTTCAGTATCTCGAACTTGACTTTGGAGATGTTTCAGATTGCGATCAACGTCTTGATAAGCAAGTTTTGCTTGAACTTGTCGTTCTTTTGCTCTCCTTATTCTTTCTTCGGCATCTTTTATTCTCTTCTCCAAATCTTCTTCGTGTTTCACATTGTCTGCACGCAACTGTGCTTCCTTCAATAGAGCTTCAATTTCAGATGCTTGCTTTTCTTCTTTATCGCCCGTTTTTTCAGAATGATTGGCATCATTTTGTAAGGTTTTGAGTTTGTCATCTGGCATTTTTGATGAACCAGAAGAACCTTAAAAAGACGAAAAATAAATTAATATAAGCACAGTTGTCACAGGTTAGGGGATTCAGAGAAAGTAAAATTGGACAGAAAAACCAGGGATTCCTAGTAAAGTACTGAAAAAAATTGAATTTTGGAGAAGTTACAAATGATTACAGAAATTTAATTATTGTCAAAAGTAATAAAATTCTTAGTAGTATAGCTAGGGGGGTACGGGGACAGGTTCTGATCTCGGCTAAGTACCCTCGGTCGGTAATGCAGATTTCTACTTTATCAGTGGTTGGTAGGGGTTATCTGTTTTACCGACCGAGGGTAGTTCCTGCTGCCACCGCTAGATGGCGCCACTTACAAATTCCAAACCCCTTGGCGGGAAATTTAAAAATTTAATTTCAAACTTTCGCGTGGCTTAGAAGGGGGGCTCTCTGTTATACCAACCAATTTTTTAGTTCTGGCTACCGCCGACAGATGGCGCCACCATCGAATTCAAACCTGCATGGCGGGAAATTTAAAAATTTAATTTCAAACTTTCGAGTGGCTTAGAAGGGGTTCTCTGTTTTACCGACCGATTTTTTTAATGCCGGCTGCCGCCGATGGATGGCGCCACTAGCAAATTCAAACTTGCTTGGCGGGAAATTTAAAAATTTTATTTTGGAAATTTAAAGTCTATTGGAAAGGGTGTTCTGCTTTACCGACCATTGAGTTCCGGCTGCCTCCGAGAGATGGCGTTACCATCGAATTCAAACCGCGGGAAATTTAAAAATTTATTTGAAAAATTCAAACCGCTTGGACAGTGAGCCGCCATTTTGTTTTACCGACAGAGTGCGGTTCGAGTGTTGTGTCGAGAGATAGCGCCACAACTGAATCGTTTGTATTTCGCGGGCAAAGATGGCGCCCTATTGTTTACACTAATAAGATTATTAAAATCTTAATAGATGGCGCTTGTAAAAGTTGTTGAAATCTATTATATTAAACATAACCTTAAAATATATTGTATTAAACATAACCTTAAAATCTATTTCATTAAACATAACCTTAAAATGTATGCCTTATTCTCTAACGTAATACCAATGAAGGTATTTAATTAAATACAGTATTAATAACATTTCATACATTTATTACATTCAATATACAATATTTACACTTGTTTTATTTTAAATTCAATATGGTTGTATGGACCACCAATATACTTCAGTCGTAATTGTCCAGAATTAATAGCTTCTTGCATCTGATCCAAGCATATCGAGTCATCAGTGAACATTGGTACAAATCTTGAAGGTAGGAATGTATTGAATTTTTTATCCACCTCAACGACGACCTTGACTCCATACCTGGTGTTAACGACCTGGATCTTTGTTATAGGATACTTATGTCCAGGAGTCAGCTCGGAAAGCGGCTTCGTAGGTAGGAAAGCATCCATGCGACCAATGGCGTTGATTTTGGTTAGATCCATCTTTTCTTAGAGATAATACTTTGTGAAGTTACAAAACAGAATGAGCTTTACAGCTCAAGGTGCCTCTATTTATACCCAAATATCACGCATTATCCCCACCATTACTTTCACGCATGCGCAGTACCCCTACCACTATTTTACGCATGCGCAATAGCTTTTTATGTTTGTAAAATACCCTCACTTTTTATTATTGAGCCACGCCCACTTTGTGACGTCATAAGACAAGTTTAGACTAGTTTTAACATGTTTAATAGTTTTACACATGTGTAATAAAGATAATAGGATAGGGAAAGGTTAATTAAAGTAAACATTAATAGACATTTAATACATTTATTCATTATATAGGAAATTTTCACAATCATTATAAAAATCTTTCAATGTACAATCATTGTCAACTTCATCATTATTTTCTATATTATTTCGTAGTACATTCGATGGTTGTATCAACCAATTTCGTAGATTACATACATTTTTAACAGCGCAATTGCTAAAGCTACGTGTGTGATTTGTACATGTAGATGAACTGTCTACACTTAAACTTTTTAGCGACGGACATTTAAAATCATCTAAATTAAACACATTCAATGTATATTTTTCGAACCATTTTTGTTTTTCTAAACCTTTTACATAAACGGTAGGTGTACCTATTAGTACTTCTTTTATTATAGGTTGTAATTCTTCATAACATACGTCACCAGCAGCCCAATCGATACCATGATAATTATTTGTAAGCCATCGATTCTCACATTTGTATCTTGCAGGCAATCGACTCCAGGCATATGGCGGCTCGAAGAGGTAGACCAATGGATGAGCATCTTGTTGAAGTGGTAGAATCGCCAACTCTTTGATGACAAACTCGTTGTATGGTCTCTTGAAGCACTGAATATCTACGACGTACGCCATGGTATCTGAAATAGAATAATGGCTCAAGCCTTAGAGAGACGCTCTCTTTATAGCCTTTCCCCCACCACTCCAAATACCCCCACTACCGATGTCGTGTACGATTGGTCATTATTTCTACCAATCACGTTACTTTTTTAACAACGCCGCTGATTGGTGTATACTGTATAATGCGGTAGTGAATTATAAAGCAATATGCAGCTGTATTGGCTGGAAAATTTTCACTTGCTTCAAATTCCAATCGCACATCTACAGATGCTTGTTTTAGAAATTCGTCTTGTTTTGAGCAATCAATAACAGCCAATGGTGCATAATCTTTAAAGTTATTTCTAGTTAATAAAGGTTCAGATTCTTTTCCATAGTAGCACGGTTGAAAATTACAATACATTTCATATAATATGGAAAATTTGTTTTGAGTAAAATTTAAATTTAAATTTCCATAAGGATAGTACTGTGAGTTTAAGAAAAGTTTAACATTGAGAAGATTGCAGGTATCAAATAAATTTGCATACCTTTCTTGATCTTCTTTTCGATTTGTTTGAAAACCAAGAATAACATATCGAGGTTTTTCAACTTGTGTTGAAGTTTTTACAGTCCACACATGCTTTTGAGTGGCAGTAATCATAGGATATTCATACAAATCCCATGATCTAAAACTCATTGTTATAAGTGAGTCTTTTTCAATGAATTTCAATAATTCAATTTTTTGTCGATCATTTACCATTTAATATGGAATCAACCATTCAACTTTATTAATAATAATTTTAAATTCTTCACGCTCTGCTGCTTCAATGTTTACTACAGCATTCAGATCAGTACGAGATCTTGTTAAAATAAGTTCATGTTTTGCATTTACAACAATCTTTCGATAGTCTTCAGCAAAACCAATAATTATACTTAGTGGAATATTTACATCAAAATATTCAGCATCATTTGTTACTCTGCTATCATCATCATCATAAGGTAGATAACCAGCATTTTCAGAGTAAATCATTTGATTAGGTGTTTGAGAAATTATATTTTTCATTGTGGTTGTAATACCAACATTTTTGGAGCGATCAATTTCAACACCATTTAATTCATAACGAATCTCATTAAACAGGTAGGAAATACCATTGCTAATTAACTTTGTATTAGTTACAAGCGTATTGTTAGGCTTAACAATTCTTCCAGTGACGTGTAGAGTACTTTTAGAGGGAAGAATGTACAAGTCTTGATGTTGAACTGCAATTCGAATCTCGTCACTGTTATTAAATGCTGATGACACGTATGGTTGATGTGCATGAATCTCATAGTGTGCCACAGAATTATCAAATTTTACTGGACTTAGAATGTTTAAAATCTCTTCCATTTTTGTTACAACAACAAATAAAAAGTATGTGAAAAATTAATTTTTTCCCTTGTTTTCTTGATAAACTCTTAGGCCGATCTGTTTCAGAAATAGTATGTTCTGAGATGTTAGTCTCTTGCGAACTGATTGAGGAATGAATGACTTCTGACATAGTAACTCATTTATATAGCTTCCACCAGTTTTTCTATGAAATACAATTCCCATTACGTTGATTTAACGTGTAATCGAATTGTTATAGTTTCACCTCTAAAATTTATTAAATCTCCGTCTTGATCAACGATTCTTATTTGAATATTATGTATTGTCTTCACGGCGATTGGAAGGTAAATGACGTGAGATGGAACTTCCACAATCTTATATCCAGCTGGTACAATTGGAAAAAATTCGTGAATTGTGTGTACCTTTTTATTATTTATGTATGCACCAGTAGTAATGTTACATTCAATTCTGATAGCATTTACCTTAAGAATGGCTACTGGTACATCTGACGTATGAGGTATATTAGCTGTCAATATTCGTGGAGTAAATCCTAATAATTTACCAATTGAATCGTTTTGTTCAAAACTCACTTCAAGGCTGCTTGTTATTTCACTATGTAAAGTATTATTGTTAGGTTTGATTCTTACAATTTCAGATCTATTTTCAATAGAGTTTTGAATATATTTTTCAATATCTTCAATTTCATAGCTTCCAGGGGGTATAGTAATCACTTTATCACCAATATAAAATTTATTTTTACCTTGATCAATATTAGGAATTGAATTGAAGGTTAGTAATTCAACTAAGCCAAGTACATAATTTTTATTAGATAATAATTCTATCGGAGGAAAATATTCTGCCTCCAGGACAGATGAATTGCCTGAGATAGTCAGAGTAAAAGATTCTTCCATGTTGATGACTTTTTATATACTGATTAGCTGCAATGACTTACAATCACTTATATAGAATATATTTTTGAGTTATTTCAAGCTGTCCACATAAGAATTTTAGACATAAATGACCACAATTAAAGCTATTATAATCTTGATAATTTTGATGATTATACTGTATTAAAGTATTGTAACCTAAGTAATTGACAAGTTCATAGGGTGGTTGAAGATTTCCAAAACTATCAAAGTATACTGCTTTATTATTAACTTTTTTATATGCAACCCAATGAGTTCCAGAACCATCTTTATCATCTAAATTAATAATGGCGGATTCATTTTTTCGAGGACCACTTATAGGTAGTTCATTTCGCATAAAAACTCCTCGAAAATGGGAAATTTTCATTTCTTTAGCATATTTAAGTAAATCTAGATCTGTAAGTGCTCGTTGAGGCAGCTTTAAACTTTTTTTTTTCTACATCGCCTCTTAATACCTTGTCCTTTAACGTATGGTTTCAAATGAAGTCCCAACCCTTGTCGGTATGGTTTTAAATGTAGACCTTTGCCAAGTGCCACTGCTTCCAACTCTCTATTATGACGCTGAGCTTCCTTCAACTGCTCTTTTGCTGCACTTGCATCATTAACAGCTTTTGCTACACCAGCAGCTCCCCCAGTAAGCGCTCCAAGTGCACTTAGACCAGCAAAAATTGGAATTAATGGTAACAGACCACCAACTTTTGATGGAACAGGTAGAATTCGAGGTGTTAAAACCTTTTCTCTACCACCTGCTTTCCTTACAGCTTTTCGAGCTGTTTCAATAGCTGACTTTATTGTTGATCGAGCATCATTACCAGGAATTATTGATTTTCTTGCAGCATCCACAATTTTTCTAAGATTTACTCGTTTTTTTGATTTTGTCTTCTTTACTCGTTTCTTTGACTTTGTCTTCTTCTTTACTCTCATTCCAAATTTTGATTTTGCTTTCATAGCGTTTGTTATTGCGTAAGATGCAGCTCTTTCACTATATTGTGCGTCTGGAGCAAATACACGTTGCCACGCTTTGTCAGCTAATACTCTATCAGCAGCGTTTCTTTCTTCAACGTTTTCTCGATTTTTCGAGTAAGCAATATCGTGCTCTTTACAAGCGGCGTCTAATGGATTAACACCTGGATCACCTCGGTCTAGACGTTTTGCTAACTTTGTGTCTGGTCCACAATATTGATAACCTGGCAAATGTAATTCAAATGGTAACTTGTTTATAAGTTTATTAATTAAACCTTTTCCTTGAGAGCGATGATGTATAATCATACCTTACTCTGTGAAAGTTAAAATTAGAATGACTTGTGAGCTATATAAGCGCTGTATTTATACCTTTAGCGGCAGTCTAAATCAGAATGCGGTTCAAGGAACAACTTCACAAGCTGCCAGTCGTCAATCTAGACTCGATTGTTGAACAACAAAAGAAGAAAGTGAAGCGTCATGGTAGTTTATTTTCCGGTAGTATTCGAGCTATTTTTTGTGGACCATCAAATTGTGGAAAGACAAATGTACTCCTTTCTTTAATTTTACATCCTAATGGTCTTAGATTTAATAATATTTACTTATACTCAAAGTCTTTACATCAACCCAAGTATAAATTCTTGGAACAAGTTGTTAATAATGTTGAAGGAGTAGAGTATTTACCATTTAGTGAGCATGAAGAAGTCATTACTCCTAAAGATGCAAAACGAAATTCAATATTTATATTTGATGATATTGCTTGCGAGAAGCAAGATAATGTAAGGGCATTCTTTTGCATGGGTAGACATGTTGATGTTGATTCTTTTTATCTTTGTCAAACATATGCCCGCGTTCCTAAACATTTGGTACGTGATAATGTTAATTTACTAGTTCTTTTTCGTCAAGATGAGAAAAATTTAAGGCATGTTTATGATGATCATGTTAATACTGACATGACATTTAATCAATTTCGAGAACTATGTTCAACATGTTGGAATTCAGACAAATATGGATTTGTAGTAATTGATAAGGATTCTGATTTAAATGATGGAAGGTATAGAAAAGGATTTGATAGCTTTGTAACACTATAAATATAGGATCATCCCTAAAATATTGTTAGTTCAATATGAAACCTTGTAATAATAACATGTTTCATAAAGAAAAAGAATATCTTCATCAAATTGCTAAAGCTAGCGAGGCAATTAGGCGAAAACATCGTATGTTAAAATTAGGAAAAGAAGAAGCTGAAAATGTGCTGACTGAAACTTTTAAACCGATAGTTCAACCCTTACAAAAAATTATTAACTTGACAGACACTGAACATGAAAATATCAAGATTGAAAAGAAAGAGCAGAAGATGGATGATAGCATATACTTTGAAAGTGAAACTGAAAAATCTCCAGATGATGATAAAATAAGTAATAAATTTCTATACTTATTAAATCATAATAGAAAGCAATGTTTAGATTCAACATACGGCATACGTAAGCTAAGTGATGGATCACTTATAATTGGTGATTGAACTCTTGAAGATCAGCATGTAAAAATTGGTAATAAACGATATCTTCAAACGCTTGGATTACTTGAACTTTTATTTAAAAGTAAACCTACTACATCGCTTATAAGTGAAGATGATGAAAGAAACTATAAAGAGATTCTGATTGCTACTAATGCACACAAAAAGAAGTATACTTCTTCTTCTCTGAATCTATACGTACGGATAAGAGTTACAAGTATTTGAATTTTATATCTCAATTCTTCCCTCGAACACCTACCAAACGGTCATCTGTAAGCGGTAGTTCATTACCTAAATTTATGATTACAAACAAAAATTTTCAACGAGAATATATCTATTGGGATGATCCAAATGAGTTGGTTGACCGTCTTAGACTATTAATGGCTTCTCAAGCTGCTGGAAATCCTAGTCACAATAATGAAATCATGTCTATCATTGAGGAACTACGTGAAGCTAAAATTATATATTGCAATATATATTGCAATATATATATATTATATATTATATATATATATATATATATTATATATATATATATATATATATATATATATATAATATATATATATAATATATAATATATATATATATATATAATAATATATATAATATATATATATAATAATAATAATATAATATATTATTAATATATTTATTATTATATATAATATAATATATAATAATATATATATAATATATATTATATATTATATATTATATATATTATTATTATTATATGGGACATTCCACGTCAACACGGACAGAGCTCTAAACAAAAATTGCTTTGATGGATTTAAACGTTCTAGGGCTTAAAAGATTTCTACGTTCATGTACTTTAAGATGCCGATGGGCGTTTTTTGCAAAATTCCATTTCCGATGCCAATAGAACTGTCAAAAGTCAAAAGGTCCAAAAATCTCAAAATACTTTTATAAATTAAAAGCAAAAAACGAGGTAAATTATTCTGTAACTCATTCTTTATCAGTTTTTAGGGTTCCCGAATATAAATCTAAAGTTTTTTTTAAAAATCCAAAATGGCGAATTCAATATGGCGGACAAAATTCAAATTTGATCAGATTCGATTAAAACTTGTTACTCGGGGGTTTTTAGGGTCGCTGATTACGAATCTGAAGTCACTTTTTAAAAATTCAAAATGGCGGATCCAATATGGCGGAAAAAATTTTCAAATTTGATCCGATTCCCTTAAAACGTATTACTCGGGGGCTTTTGGGGTCGCAGATTATGAATATGAAGTTACTTTGTGTTTGAGACTTCAAATTCATAATCAGATACGCTAAAAACCACCGAGTAACACTTTTTAATTAAATCTGATCAAATTAAAAAATTTGATCCGCCATTTTGAATTTCTACAAAGTAACTTCATATTCATAATCTGCGACCCCAAAAGCCCCCGAGTAACACGTTTTAAGGGAATCGGATCAAATTTGAAAATTTTTTCCGCCATATTGGATCCGCCATTTTGAATTTTTAAAAAGTGACTTCAGATTCGTAATCAGCGACCCTAAAAACCCCCGAGTAACAAGTTTTAATCGAATCTGATCAAATTTGAATTTTGTCCGCCATATTAAATTCGCCATTTTGGATTTTTTAAAAAAAACTTTAGATTGACATTCGGGAACCCTAAAAACTGATAAAGAATGAGTTACAGAATAATTTACCTCGTTTTTTGCTTTTAATTCATAAAAGTATTTTGAGATTTTTGGACCTTTTGACTTTTGACAGTTCTATTGGCATCGGAAATGGAATTTTGCAAAAAACGCCTATCGGCATCTTAAAGTACATGAACGTAGAAATCTTTTAAGCCCTAGAACGTTTAAATCCATCAAAGCAATTTTTGTTTAGAGCTCTGTCCGTGTTGACGTGGAATGTCCCATATATATATTTATATTGCATTATATATTGTGTTTTAGCAAATATCATTCATTTCAACAATGAGCATTGACGTGTTCGGACATCCTCTCAATCAAAGAGGAACAGCAAGACGAGGGCCTCCTGGAGTTGGTTTTAAACTTAATTCTCAAGGTAACTTTGACGTTGAAGGAAGAAAACTCTCTAATCTTGCTAACGCTGAAGAAGAAAACGACGCTGTCAATTTAAAACTTGTACGACATATGATAAAACACGAAGTGCGTTTATTGTATGAAGCTAGTGCCTCACTTAGATCAGAGGTGGACAATAACAACTTATTTCTAAAAGTTCTTGAAGACTCTATTACAGAAAAAATAAAAAATTTTGAAAAAGATATAAATCAAGACTTATCTTATCGAACAGCTGAAATTATTAGTGAATTGGATACTCGCTTAAGTGCTCTCGAGAATGAACAACAAAAAATTAACAGTAGTGAATGAACTTCATACCCAGGCTAGAAAAAATTATCCTCGACGGCGAGTTGAAATGCGTGATATTGATGAGACATGGCAAGCAGATTTAGTAGAAATGATACCTTATTCAAGAATAAATAAAGGTTTCAAGTATTTACTAACAGTTATAGACATATTTTCGAAATATGCTTGGGCTGTTCCAGTAAAAAGTAAAAATGGAAAAGATGTTTCTCATGCAATGCAATCTATATTTGCTAAAAAACGCATACCAAAAAACTTGCATAGTGACAAAGGAAAAGAATTCTATAACTCACAATTTGAAGCATTAATGAAAAAGCATAAAATAAATTTTTACTCAACATACAGTAATATGAAAGCTTCCATTGTTGAACGGTTTAATCGAACACTAAAAAGAAAAATGTGGATGCAATTTAGTTTACGAGGAAACTACAAGTGGTATGATATATTGCCTACTCTTATTTCCAACTACAATAATACCAAACATAGAACAATTGGAATGAAGCCTAAAGATGTTACTTCAGAAGACGTTGAAATTTTAAAAGAAAGGATCTCTAAACTAAGAAAAATTCCTTTAAGACGACCAAAGTATAAAATTGGTGACAAAGTTCGAGTAAGCAAATATAAAAACGTTTTCGAGAAAGGATATACACCCAATTGGACAACAGAAATATTCACCGTGGATCAAGTTGTATCAACTCAACCAGTGACTTACAAGCTCAAGGATTACCAGGATCAACCCATCAGCGGAGGATTTTATGAAGAGGAACTTCTTAAAGTAAAATATTCAGATATTTATCTTGTGGAAAAAATTCTCAAGACACGTGGAAACAAAGTTCTTGTCAAATGGCTTGGCTTTGATAATTCTCACAATACGTGGGAAGATAAAGCAAATGTATAATCTATTATTCGCAAATCGCCCCCAGTAACTTAACGCAAATGTCAATCAACCAGCAAATCAATCAAAGATTAATGTTAGCGTAGAACCTCTCTATAAATCAAAACTACTTCCAACAACAGACCTTTACACTGCCAGTGCCAAATTTAATTAACATTAAATCAATAATGAATCATTAATGAATCAACAATGAATCAATAATGAATCAACAATGAATCATTAATGAATCAACAATGAATCATTAATGAATCAATAATGAATCAATAATGAATCAATAATGAATCAACAATGAATCAATAATGAATCAATATTAAATCAGTTGGAACTGGCATTGTAAAGGTCTGCTGTTGGAAGTAGTTTTGATTTATAAAGAGATTCTACGCTAACATTAATCTTTGATTGCTTTGCTGGCTGATTGGCATTTGCGTTAAGTTACTGGGGGCGATTTGCACATTTAAATTATATTACATTAATATAAGTTTTAATCATGTTATTATGTATATATGGAAGGATTTTTTAAATAAAAACACATGGAAATTGTATATAATTGCATTATTTATTAACAAACCTTTTATTTTTTTTTACAATCATATTTTACAAAATCATTCGTCGATTTTAGGGATCGCATAATGTCCCCACGGTAGAGTGTCAGTACTCCCCGGTAACAAATATCGTTTGTCGTCTTGCGGACTTAAGGCTACTTTTATCTGTTTTACAGTTTCGACATTGTGTAACCGCGATCTAATGTTATATTGCGTTCGAGTTTGAATGTCAAAATCTCTCAGACATTTTACATAATCATCAAAGTGAATACTCTTTTTAACAACGCCGGATTTAATGCCTTTAGCTTTTTTAATAAAATCTTGACCTTCAACCCGTACGCTGTACATCTTACTCCGCAAGCCAACAAATTCGGTAACGATCTTGCCGTTACATTCGTCTTTCATTAGACCGAGAATCTTTTTGTTGGCTTGCGGAATGCCGTACACGTTGTTTGCGGGATAGTCTGACGTATCGAACTTTTGGATGTCATTTTTCATGTCATTGTAGATATCTTTACATTTAATTTCGTAGATTAGACTGTCTGTATCGGTATACATCAGTTTACAATTGTCGCCGTATTTTTTTAACATATACCCGTAGTGAAAATCGTAGATTAGCGTTTTGGATACATCAAGCACACTTAACCCCACATAGATTGGTTTGTTGAGTAGTACCTCGGTTTTACGCAGTTCAATGGCAACCAGATTTTCGTCGAATATCGCTCGACTATGGAAATTCGGGCGAGAAATAAGGGCTTCAGCTCCATAGCGGCCAAACCATTGGGTGACAAGCTTAATGTCGACATGTTTACGGACATTTTCCATTGTTTTACCGTATACCGCATTGTTCATGAGCTTGAACAAATTTTTCTCGAACTCATTCTTGGCGTTGGTTCGCATCATCGTATTATAGTCTATATATGGTTTAAGCCATGTTGATTGCTTAAACTATAAGACTCGATGAATTTTAACAAGCTTAATGCCGTTGGCGACAACTTGTTTTAAAGTGCAGTAGTGGATCACATATTTTTCTTTTGGTTGGAGAGTTGTTAATAATTTCTCCTGTTTCGAGAGGGGTGGTTTCGCATTTTCTGCGCAAAATGGCATATCTTTGTGAGTATCGTGGAGATTTTCAGGATACTCCAAGTCAACATCGAGTATGTACCCAACAGGTGAATCGTCAGGCACATTAAAATCGAAGGAGTTGTCGACATTATCAACCCATTTGAAGCCGCCATAAGGGAGCGCTTGAGCCATTGCCCAGCCATATAGATTATTGGCATCGAAGTACATAATATAGCTTGTATCTTCATTTTTGTCAAATTTCTCCATATACGGATTATTTGCTTTAGTATATCGGTTGCAACATTGGCTAATGCCACCTCTAATACCAGACTCAACAAACATAATCATATCGATATCGGTTATTAGTTGCAATCCTATGCTCGTGTACTTGAGCATAGCATCCCAAGTTAAACCGGGGGTTGTGTAGTAGTGGGCAGGATCTAAACCATACGCTTTTACACATTCTACTCGGAAATTTTCAAAGACGTCCGCAAGTAACAATACATCGGTTTTCATATACAAATGGACATAGTCATATAGATTTTTACAGTCAAACTCGGTCCATACATTTTGCGCATGCGCATACTCGTCATCAGAAATACCGGCATCATAAAGCGTACTATAAAATTTCTCGATCGGGGGCAATTCTGTCTCATCTAACTTACTTTTCGAGTCAAAGTACTCATAAGGGAATACACCTTTGCGCGTCAATAATTTAATTTTTTCCGGATCTGTCACCGTACTGGCAAAAACGGAGTTGACGATTTTGTACTCGTCTAGGTACGATGCGAGTTTCTCTAGGGATGCTGCCATAAATCGCAATGAGTCAATGAATCGAAATTTGACCTCACTCCCCTTGACATGTTTAGTAAAAGAGATATACTTCTCTTTGTTAATGGGGAGGAGGTCAATTTTTCCTTCAAAGCTCGTCGAAATCGCGTGAATTATAAAATGGGCGTCATAGCCACTTAGGTTGTGAAATACTACGGTGATCGTTTGACAATCTTAATAGTTTAGATTGCACGATTCATGGGCAGCACCCCTATATTTGCCAGTAAGGTGACAGTGATCGCGGACTTTCTTTTCGCTTGCCGGTATTTTCTGATGACAAATGTGACAGATTGTCGCTCGCTTAAAATCATTGATTTCTTGAGAAGTTAATGCAGTCATCGGTAACGGATTTTTAAAAACTTTATTCATTTTCTCTGCAATCTGCTTTAACTCCTCAGCAAACCATTTCGCAGGGTCAGATTCATTTTTCGGACACGGTACATATTTACATAATGATTCGTCGTAGCTACATTTGATATAATATCCGATGCTTAACAATTTGTGACGCTGGAAGACTTCAGTCTTACTTAAATTGTCTACATCTTCATCCGCTGGAAGAAGTAGACTTTCACAGTCGGCGTAAATTACATATGGCACCTTTTCTTTGTTCTTAAAATTTTTAAATGTGATCAGACTCTTGTCAGGCGTCGGTAATTTAATTTTACACTCATTCATTTTTTTTACAATTTTCGAGATGTACATTCAGTCTATCTACAGATGAAAAGTAGTGTAAGCATCTGTCACAGATATGTTTTTTACATTTCTTTTTAGATAATTGTTTCGATACAAGTCGCGATAGATCTTTTATCCATACATAATGAAAATTCATAAAATCACCTTCATCACATATTACATTCTCTTCAACACTCTCATCTGCATACATGTCAGCTACGTATAAGAGATTCACATGTTTATCTCTTTTTTCAGCAGAGAGATGAAGGGGATGTGTTGTAAAGTCCCCATAATATTTTGATAAACCATAGACGTTAATCGAAATATTATTTACAGTACCGTCCGAAATTGTCAGTCCACCCATTTTCAAAGGAATGACAAAAATTTTTTAACATAAAATTCATGAAAAGTAAATTTTTTTTTGGTTTATATTTTGAAAGACGATAAAATTTTGAAAAGAATAAGACCTTACAGAAGTCATTTGGCCAAAATTTGTAGGAGATATTCTTAAAAATCGTCATTTTCAATGTTTTACAAAGATTTGAATAACTTCTAAAATAATGAACGCTTTTTAATAATCTTAGGCTTATTTTAAAGACCATTTTCTACAGAATAAGAATTACTTATAGGCATTAACATGTAATTTTTAACTTGGAATAAGCATGACGTCAAAGTTGGACAAAAAAATTCAAAAAATTTGAAATAATATTATTAAAAGAAAAATAATTTTTGAAATTCAAACATATATTTTTATTAAATTTTCTTGAAAAATCTACACCATATCATATTTTATATATGTTCTAGAATAGTTTTTAGTACAAAAAATTGATTTCAAATTTTTACAATTTTTTTGTCTAATTTTGACGTCATGCTTATTCCAAGTTAAAAATGACAGGTTAATGCCTATAAGTAATTCTTATTCCGTAGAAAAAGACCTTTAAAATAAGCCTAAGATTATTAAAAAGCGTTCATTATTTTAGAAGTTATTTAAATTTTTGTAAAACATTGGAAATGACGATTTTTAGGAATATCTTCTACAAATTTTGGCCAAATGACTTCTGTAAGGTCTTATTCTTTTCAAAATTTTATCGTCTTTCAAAATATAAACCAAAAAAAATTTTAGTTTTCATGAATTTTATGTTAAAAATTTTTTGTCATTCCTTTAAAAATGGGTGGACTGACAATTGCGGACGGTACTGTAACTTTTCAAATTTTGAGACATTTTTCAACGTTACTGGGAAATCTATACCGTCAAAATTTAACTCATTTTCAAATTCTTTATAATTCGAAACTCGATCATTTCTCACTACATTTGGGTGTAAGGCTGAGAGTACCGCCCACTTAAAACACTCATTATCTTTGTTTTGCACGTTAATACAGGCTTGTTTTCTTTTAATTTGTGAGGGTAGATCAATGTATGAGCTCGCACGCATCGGATTATACTTATTTACATTGATTTCAAGCTTTATAATTGACTGTAGGTTCCAATTTGAACCTTTGGCGTAAAACTCTTCAACACTATGTAGAATCGGCTGTTTAATGTACTGCTCGAACCAATCATCTAAAAGGGTCGTAGGGAAGATGTTGTTGGCCTTGGTTCCAAAAGGAATCGGCTTTACAACTTCTTCGTCATTCTCCACCCTCTTGAAGTTTGCGATGAGTACGCCGTACACGACGATGGGTCCATTCTTATTTAAAGCACCTCTAATATGGTCTTGAAACAGTGTGGACCCATCGTCTAAAAACGCGCTTATATCAATGTGTACAAGATTTAGAATCACATTAGTGTACAGTCTACACGCAAACGCACTCTCACATTCTTCCCAGCGCACACGTTTATTTATATCTGGATCACCGATTCCAGCGCCATCTACAATATGGGACTCAAATAATGCGCGAAGTCTAATGATGGATTGTAGAATGCTCACACATCTTTTCTTTTGATGTGTAAAGTACATCGACTTGAGAATGCTCGATAACACGTTTTCATGTTGTGAGCATTCTACAATCCATCTCCCAACGAATGAACGTCTTAAATTGACGTCGTCTAAAAGAGGAATCAACTCTAGAGCCTCCTGGATGAGAGTAATAGTTACGTCACTCTCGTCGAGAATAGTACCGTAATTCGGATACTTACGTGGTGGTCCATCGGTGGTCGTCGCCTTCCGCTTCATCTCTGCACCTGAAATTACACTTACAAACTAACAAAAAAGAATAAAGAACACACTTACAAGCTAACAAAAGAACACACTTACAAACTAAAAAAAGAACACACTTACAAACTAACAAAAGAATGAACTTACAAACTAAAATACTTATAATAAACAAAACGAACTTACAAACTAAAGAACTTAACCTACAAACCAATACAAAGTAAATGCAATAAACACAGTAAATGTAACAAAAAAGACAGTAAATATAACAAAAAAGACAGTAAATATAACAAAAAAGACAATTAGTAATGGCAAGGGGAATCTGCTGATGCTGCTGCTGTTGGAACCGCTGAATCTGTGAACAGAACAGCTACTGACTAAACTCGCCAAAATCCCTGAATATATACCCCGAAATCCCCACTCCTACCTTTCACGCATGCGCACTAGACCATTTACCCTCACTCCAACCTATCACGCATCCCTACTCTTAAATTTTCCCCCACCTATTCACGCATGCGCAACACTTTTACTCTAACGCAGTCGTAACAATTTCTATACAGGATACGCAAAATAAATATACTAATTTACAAAAAAATAAAAAATTTATTGATTATTAAAAATAAAATTCAGAGTTAAATTTAAAGTTACGCGCCAAGACTCTCTCTGCCTTTGACAAGCGTCGACATTTATTTTTTCGAAGAGGATGAGCATTGATTTGAATCGTACGTCTAGGAGTTGGCACTGGTGGCAATTGTCGTTGTGCTGGCACTGGTTGAGCTCTCGGAGCTGGCACTGGTGGCAATTGTCGTGGCGCTGGTACTGCTGGAGCTCTCGGAGCTGGCACTGGTGTCAATTTTCGGAGAATTCGTGTAATCCGGCGTCGTGGCGCTGGTACTGCTGGAGCTCTCGGAGCTCTCGGAGCTGGCACTGGTTGAGCTTTCGGAATTTGCACTGGTGGCAATTGTCGTGGCGCTAATACTGCTGGAGCTCTCAGAGTTGGCACTTTTGGCAATTGTCGTGGAATGTGCGCAATCCGGCGTCGTGGCGCTGGTAGTGGTACTTCTTCCAGTATGGGTAGTTTTTGGTCTATCAGACCAACCGGTGGCGTTCTAATAATTAATGCTGGCTAAATGCGGGTGCGGATATAATTTCCTGCAGCCTCAGTTAAATCATTGACAAATG